CAAAGCAAGATAAAAAAAACATTGGAAATACATATTATGGTACTATGAAAAAGTAAAGATTTTTACCTTGACTGTCATTTCTGCAACAAAGATGGCCGTGAATATGTAGTTTGAAAGTGTAAGTAACAGCCTTTCCTATGGTACAAAGAGAGGATACAAAATTATTCTATTGAATATGGGGAATAAGAAAAATTAATTAGCAGCAACTTATATATAATACAGTTTAAGGTTTATTTGACCTAAACATTAGTATTAAATTACTATAATTTTTGCTGTTTACCAGATAAAAACAATAAAAAGATTAAACTAAACAATTTATAGTTCAAATGTAATTTAGTTCCATCACTTCCTTTAACAAGAACTGCTGAATATCTAAATAAAGTGTCATTTTGACTTTACTTGATATAGAAACAGGATAGCTGGTTGGGTTTCTACAGAACAGTATTGGGTAACCTTTCGAACCCTTTTCTTTGTGGATGTGGATGTCTGTGTGTCTACAGAATGACAAATAATACTGGCGATTATTGTTCTCACCAGGCTTCCTTGAAGAATCCTAGGCCTCTCCAGAGCCACTGTGATGCAGTTGAGGAAGATAAAGACCAGGACTATGTAGTCAAAAAGCTTATGAGCAATTATGGATTGACAGAGAAGCCTGAACCTAAGAGGACAGAGAGAAAAAAGTGGTAGATCAGTGCTGCACATATCGTACACTGAGTTAATCATTTCTTTGAAGCATTTTCCAAAATCTTTTGTAATAAATTGGAATGTGGTTTTTAAGGTATTCAGAAACTATGCATGAATCAAAATATGTTGGGTTTTTTTCAATTAGATTTTTAATTTAATTGTTTTATAGGATATAAAATAGTAGTTGTGGTATGTTGAGGGTAGCTGTCCTCTTCGAAGATGAACCTCAGTCTTGGATCTTAGGCAGCCTCTAACAAACAGTTACCTACAGTTAAACTTTTTTATTAAATTGTTTAAAAAAAATTGTTAAATGATGTGAATTTAGCACATTGTTAATTGAAAGTAAATATAGAACAGGCATTAAATGACCCAAAATCAAACCATTTGCCCATAAAGAGCGATAAAAGTGTAGCAAGCGGCCTGCCGGCTTAGTCGCACCTTGTTGCAGCAGCATGCCACTACAGCTGCCACAGGGTGGCAGAGGATCTGCCATTATGGCAGCTGGCTGCCCGCTTGGTCACACCTTGTGGTAGGCGACTGGCGAAAGTTCCACAAGCTTTTGTTAGAAATACGGTAATATGAATAAAATATGACATTTTGGAAGTAGTTATAGACCAACATTGTGTGCATCAACAGCCATGGCACCTATTTGGCAAGTAAAGTGACACCAGAAGTGACACTATTCTCTAGCTGCCACTGGAAGTGCCACTAATAGATCAAGCTGATACCAGAGGTGCCACTACCTGATGCCACAAATTGATTCTTATAGCTGTTTTAAATAGCTGCTTTTAATAGGTTAGATTAGGTGATCAGTATTTCTGATATTGACAGATATTTTTCCATGGGTAATTAAAGCTACCTGCCATTTACTGTGTTAGCATATCGTCTGAGCGTGCTGGTAATAAGAGTTATGTGTTTAACACATTTTAGCTGATAGTAAGTGAGGTTATGATTTTTATATATATATA